CACCGTCCTCGACGTCCCCAGCCTCCGCGCCCAGGTAGGCAGCATGGCCGGGACCCCCGGGCTGACTCCGCGGGGGGACGCAGGGGTGGCTTTGGGGAGGGGTTGCATTGGTTTGAGCCCCAAAGGTTGCTCGTGGGCATGTCCCTGCCTGTGGCAATGCCCCAAGCAACCTTCTATTGCTGCTTTTTGCCGCTTTTCATCATTTTTGGGTCCCTTCCCTCCTCCATCAGGCCACAGGAGGAGGATGCAGAGGCATCTCCGGCAGCTGCATAAATGGAATGCTGAATAGTTCTTTTTTTTTTTTTAAAAAAAAAAACACAACACCTTTCCCCCACCTTTAATTTTCACATTTAGTGCCCAAACTTAGTTTGCATGTATTAGCTGTCATAAATCCAGCCTAACGGCAGTGCTGGGGATGAATAATGCATCAGGGACTGGATTCGTTTTCAGTCTCCAATTTTATTTATGACAGGAGCCGGGTGGGAATTTTTGCAGAAGAAAAGTGATGGGGGAGGAAAGAAGTGGTGGTGGGGGAGGGAAGCTGGGGGATGGTGTAAATAGTATTTGATGGAGAGCTGTGTAACAGGATCTTGGGTCTGCCTGGGTGGGACTGGTGGCTTGGGAATAAAGCGTCACGGAATAAATCCCATGTGGGGTGGGGAACAAGGGGGAGATCACCTAAAAACATCTATTCCCTCCCCCATTTTGTGCAAGCCTTTTTGGGGGATGCTCTATGCCAGCCCTCTCCAGGAAGGGGATCAATACCTGCTCCCCTCTTTTTATTTTTTTTTTTTTTTTTTTTAAATATATATAAAGCAAATCTTAAAGCAAAAAATGTTTCAAAGCCATAGGAGAAGGCAAAGTCACTGCATGCAGGTTTCTGCCCCGGTGACTTAATCCTTCCATGCTAACGTGAGGTTTTATGTTGGGAAATCTGCAGCAGGGGCGATTATTTTTGGTGCAAAAAGGTGGGTTTTTCCCTGCAGTTTGCCTCCTGTGCCTGATAGGGAAATGCTCCAGCAGGGAGCTTGGGAAGCGGATGGACCAGTCCATGACCCCCAAAGAGCTCTTGCGGGGGAGCTGAGCTTTGATTGCTGATTTTTGGGGTTGGAGGGAAGCAGGAAGGTCTCATCCCATCTTGGGATGGACTTTGCAGACACGTCTACTCTGGAAAATGAGTCTTTTAAAGAAGAAGAAGACAAAAAAAAAAAAAAGACCTGGAGAGGTGGGAAAGGTTCTATTCTCCAAAACGAACCCCAAGAGGGGTTTGGAGATGGGCTGGTTTCGGTGTCCTCTGCCCAAGCCAGAGTTGGGTCTCTCTGGTCCCCTTCCCATGCAGGTTTGCAGCCCTGAAGCAGGTCCCGGAGAGAGCCTGAGCCAGCAGCAATTTTAGGGAGTGCCCCTTTTGATCTCCTTTTTGCAATTCCCCTTTTGGCAGCAAACCTTCGAGGCCCACCCAGACGCGGAGGCCAGCGTCACGCATATGATCAAGGCAGGCAGCGGGGTCTGGATGGCCTTTTCCTCGGGCTCCTCCATCCGCCTCTTCCACACCGAAACACTGGAGCACCTGCAGGAGATCAACATCGCCACCAGGACCACCTTCGTCCTGCCAGGTGAGCTCCCCTTTCCCCAGCTCTTAATTGCAATTAATGGGCAAGTTGGGCCATCACCCCGTAGACGTGTTGCTTTGCTTTAGGACTGTGCTGATTTGCCGAGAAACTGCACAAGGACTTTATCTGGTTAATGGTGTAAAGGTCTGGGCTTGGACCTCTGGCATCTGTCCTCATTGACTGCGGAGATGGAGCTGGTGGCACCTTTGCACCCGTGTGTGCATCCATGCGTCCCATCTTTGTACCTCTGTGCACCCCGTGCTTGCACGTGTGCATGCATCCACACACCTGTGCATCCCTGCACCCCATCTTTTCACCCGTGCATCCATACCCCCCATCTTTTGCACTTCTGTGCATCCTTGCGTGCATCCAGGCACCCTATTTTGACCTTTGCCTGCATCCTTGCACCTGCGCGTGCACCCTTGCACCCATCTTTGCACCCATCTTCATCCCCACGCGTGCACCTTTGCACCCCATCCTTGCACCTATCTTCATCCCCACGCGTGCACCTTTGCACCCCATCCTTGCGCCCTTGTGTGCATCCGTGCATGCACCCCACTGCCGCCCGCCCCGTGCACTCCATTTTCCCCAGCTGACCGCCCAGCACCATCTCCCAGCCGCATCCACCCATCCTGCTCTCACGTGCCCCGGGCTTGCAAGGTTGTCTCCCTCCTTGTTCTACAGAGTGACATAATTGCGTAATTAGTTATAAACATGATACTTGTGTAAGGCGCTTTTTCTTTTTTTTTTTTTTTAGGGCATGTTAAAATATTTATCACTTCCTTTTCTTCCTGGGCGAGCGAGTTCTGGGTATTAATGCATTTTTGAACTCACGCTCCCTCATCCTTTTTAACTCGACAGGTCATTAATAAAGTCCTCCCGGAGAAACCGGAGTTGCATCTCCGCGGATAAATTGCTTCGCCGAGTCCGACGCCATACAGCGCTAAGTCCCAGCAATAAAATATTCATTTGCCCATTAGAAGTCTCACTTCCCCCCTCCCCCCCCTGCTCCTCTCTATTTATATTTGTAGCGCTCTCCCTGGCATGGACACCTTCATGCAAAGACACTGCTTGGTTTTTGGGGGCTCTGGAGTGTGTTCCCCGGGAAAAATTCACTGGTGATGGATTATCCGGGAAGAGGCGGCTGCAAAATCGTCCCTCACCTTCTTTTTATTTTTTTTTTTTCCTGCTCTCGTAGGTCAAAAACACGTCCGTGTCACCAGCCTCCTCATCTGCCAGGGTTCGCTCTGGGTGGGCACCGACCAGGGCATCATCGTGCTGCTGCCCGTGCCCCGCTTGGAGGGCATCCCCAAAATCACCGGTGAGCACCCCAAAAAACCCACACATGTGGGTGCAACCTGGTGTTTGGGCTCGTTTTTAGCAACCCCCCTCTTATTTTAATTGCTTTTTTTTGGCAGGAAAAGGCATGGTGTCCCTCAATGGCCACGGTGGCCCTGTGGAGTTTTTGGCGGTGGCGTTGAGCACCCTGGCCCCCGATGTGCTAAAGGGCGACCAGGAGGAGGAAGAAGAGGGTGAGGAAGAGAAACCCCCCGACCTGGATGGCCCCCCGCCTCGGGAAATGAGAAAAAAAGGGATTTTGTTGCAATATCGCCTCCGATCCACTTCCCACCTCCCTGGGCAGCTGCTATCGGTGCGGGAGGCGCCGGTGGGCGGCACACCAGCACACACTGAGGAGGACGGCTCCATCTATGAGATGGCTGATGACCCTGACGTTTGGGTGCGGAGCCGCCCCTGCGCCCGTGATGCCCCACGCAAGGAGATCTCCTCGGTGGCCATTGTTTCGGGGGGCCGGGGTTACCGCAACTTCAACGCTGAATCACCACGCCGGGGCAGCGATGCCGACAGCACCCTGCTCATCTGGCAGGTCCCGCTGATGCTATAGCACCCT